AACAACTATTACTCACTATACTTAATACGCCTAGCTAAAAATGTATACAATTTTGTAATACTTAATACAACTTTGTGTTATATTTTTATCATTTACGTTACAGCATTGTTACGACGTTACTGTAGAGTGCACTTAAACACTAAATTTATTGCGAATAATTCTTGAATTTTACTTAATTATTATTTAGAAAATAATGAAGAATGTCATAATAGTTCGAAGGGACCAATATTATAGTGACTGTATATCGCACATTCACTCACAGTTAAATTAGTCACGAGTACTGAATTCATAATTTCTAATTTTATAAATTTCCTATAAAGCGTTAGTAGTTTAAGTAATAAGCACATAGTTAAGTCCTATAAAAATCTTAATACTGGTGTTTATAAATTATTTCCGTTTAAAAAATATTTAATAGATTTCAAATATGTAGTTTATTAACCATAAATGTAAGCAAATATGTTCCGTACACTTACTTACAACACTATTAACGATAATTAAATTTAGTTAAAATGTTTTAGAATGACTGTATAATGTATATATTTATGTCTATATTTATCAGAGAAATTTAACTGGGGGCATAAATGTTATTAGTTTACTATTAACTATGCAATAATATTTAAATTAAATTAGTCAACCAAACAGTATACTGTATTTTGATTCTTGCCCAATAGGCGGTAATAGATTGCTTACCAAATAATAGACTACTTGAAAACAAGAATAGTTCACATATTTTAAGGAAATGCTCTAAATTTATAGCACGAAAATAGTAATATATTTAAAATTAATAGTATAGAGAATTTTAAAAATATTAAAGTTAAATATTTATTAAAAAAATAAATACTGCATTTTTTGAAAGTTTCTAAGCTTAGTGATTTTAATGGTTTTTTATTTTGTTGTGAATTTAGATACTCACAGATGTAATAAAATCAACAAGAACAGTTGGTGAAATTAATAAAAATATATTTTCACAAGCATGAAGGTGGTTAGGTTTTACACTTTTACTATTATTTTCACTACTTTTATGTAGTCGTAAATATACAATACAATCATTATAATCCTTCGTTATAAAATATAAATATACATATATCATTATATTATTGAAATTTCACTTAAAAATTAGACAATATCTGGATTGAATTTAAATAGGTAATTATAAGTAACTATTATTTATAATTAATAAGTATATTCTACGTATTCAAATATTATATCATGTTGAAAAACTAACATTAAATACTGGAAAATTAAATTTAGAATATTTCACTAAAGTTACAGAATCACTTTAAATTAATAAAAAAAAAAAAAAAAAAAAAAAATGGAATATTATACAGGATTTATAAGAACCTAAAATTATAAGCTACTGATGAAACGAAAATAGATTACTTTTAATTCTCACAGTGTAGTTACCTTTACACAAATAAGGAAACACAACTACACTAAAATATTGAAAATATTTAAGTCAAATCGGTTTGAAGTTTGAACTGAACCAGTCTCTTCCATATAAATACATTGTTTTTTGAGTATGACGATTAAATAAATCGTTATTTTAATTCCTTTAAATTACAACAACATTTTATATTATTATTTAATACTGTTTTAGGCTGATGTGATGAAACGAGATGAGTGTATAACACCTGGTAATTTATTAGTGCAACTAAATCTAAGATACTTGTATTATAGATGCTCAACTTGTAAATTACTTCTAATAGTTATAACTTATAAACAATAAATACTCTATAAATTTAGTATAGATAAATTAACACATGATAATTACGAACACATAATAAAATATACATTATAAAATATAGTTAATTTACTAATAATATTGTTTATCACATTCTAGAATATCAATAAACTTGAAAGTAAAATACAATAATATTTTATTTCTGAAATGAAAATGTATTTAATAATAGAACATGCATTTTGTTTACTTATTTATGTTATTCTTGTGGACAATAAACACGACAACTGTTGTAAAATAATATTAAAAATTTAAAAATATTTAAAAATCTTATTCAATATTTGATTTTCAATGTTAAATTTTAGTTGACCCTTATATAGTTGCACCTATGATAATGACAAAGTATCTCGAATATATATATTTTTTTCTTCTAATATCTACCTTTCAAGTTTCAACCTTTAATTATAAATACTAATAGTATCAACGCTAATACATTCCGATTGATTTAAAATAAATAATAATTATAATATATTACTTTAATATATAGTTCAATAAATATGTAATGATTTATAAAATATTTACAGATTTCTTTAATTTACTTTAAACTTTATAGTAAAATACTTTAAAATATGATTAATATTAAATTATAAAAACATATTCATTGAAATCCAATATATAGCACTTGTTTTATGTTTTATAAGTATATCTTATTATCATTTAATGTTATTTTAATTTTTAGTAATTATTATTAATTAACAATTAAATAGTAATTAATTATACAACAAAAGATTTATGTTTAACACTACTAATTATTATACTGTTTTCTTTAACTTATAGATTCTAAGTAGAGTGATAAATGTATTGATTTTATAATATTATGTACATGAAATGATTTTGTGAATGGTTTTGGATAAAAAATTAAATGTAGTTTGTAGTTTAAAGTGGTCAAAATTAAAATTTCCTAGTACTTTTTTAATAATTGGAGAAAAAAAATTATTAAAGGAAACAGAAATTTTCAATTTTGTGTATATGTATTCAAAGTTTGATCATTATTCTGGTTTGAATCGAAAAAAAGTAACTTTAGATACTTGAAATTTTCACAAAACACTTATTTTATTCTTTTCTATTTACGTTTAAATTTTAAAAATATTTTGATTATTTTTGAGCTACGAATATTTATAGGAAATGGAAATCTTCATTACTTATTTTAGTTTTTTTCTATAAAAGTGAATTAAATATAATTCACCAGGTAACGTTACGGCTAAAATTGGCAAATTGTTCTTATACCTAACATTTGAAAATGTAATACAAGGTTCCTCATAAGTACTACATACTAAAATTATAAAATCTAAAAAATATATTAATATAATTATTTTTTGTAAAAATGTTAGTCAAATTTTGACGAAATTACTTATTTGAACAATAAATAACAATATTTATTAGTTTTTAATTTTAAAATATTATTCGTGGAAATTTAAAAATTTTGCGTAAATTATATTATTATGAATTTTACTACACGAAATGACATTTTTGATTTATTTTATGATACTATCTATTATTATGCTGTGAATCTATTTTTACTGTTTTACAGTAATTACAGAAATATGTTATTAAATTTTTAGTTAAAGATTATAGAAGCTAATATTTTTACTGTAGTAAAAACATGATATACTTGTTATAATAATACTAATAATACAATATATGCAATATTTTAGGAAAAAATTATACCGACCTACCAAAATTTAAAAGTAAAATGATTAACTTTGATAGTTATGTTTATTAATAAAACATATCATGAAATATAGTTTGAGATAAAGACTGACAAACGGTCTCAGCTCAGAATTGTTTATAGTATACTATGATAGATAATTTAATTCAAATTTAACAAATCCATACTAGTATCTCAATCAGCACTTAATATACACTTAATACCTGCTAGTCTACTTTTTTTGTAAAATTTTCTGTCAATCAATTTTATAAACGCATACTATGCTTCATAAATTTATAATGAATATGATTTAGTAAGTTTCTTTTTGTCTATAATCGTAAATATTTAATTTCATGAAGATAAAAATTAGTTTTAATACAAAAACATATTTTTAAATTTAATACCATACACCTAAATTTTAGATTTTAATTACTTATTATCCAAGCTGTTTCTATAATTTAACATTAAGTGTTAACGAGGATATTTAGTTACATTGATTGCATGTTTAATAAACTATATTTATTTTTTTCAATCAATAATAACTATAACATTATGTTAACCATAAACCAATGTAAGCGTATGGGATTAAAGATATACTCATATTGAAACGACATATTAATTTGATTTTTAAAATTTCAGTGACGTAAACCAACAACCAGGAATTATATCAAAGAAAACTTTTACATTGTTGTAAGATTTAAATTAAATTGTAAAATCAACACTGAATCAAGAATTAATAATGATGTTTTTTATGATAACGATAATGATAATAATGGAAATAATTATTTTTTTAGGTTGATATCACAATATTGAAGTTCAATACTATAAAAAAAATAAATAAGAATCATAGAACTGCACGCCTAGGTCAAGGATACTCATAATATTATTGTTATTTTTATTTATTCAATATAATAATAGAATCATAATTAATACCATGATGTATTATTTAATGTTCGATATTAAATATAGGCCGATTGTTTGGAATTATTAAATAAATAAAGTATTGCATAAAAAATATTTTAATAATAAAATAGAATAGATTGTTCTTTTCCAAACAACGGTTTCGTTTTCAAAATACCCTCATTAAGGTAGTTAGCCAATGCAATACTTATAGTAGGTCCGAGCACAACATATCACATACTTGTTTATATATACGTATGATAATGTGACAATACTAGAAGCCCCTGGCAATTCATAGTATAATATTCGGACACGAACTATACTACATCGTTGTATGTTAGAGCGTGCTACTTTCATTAATTTTTGTTATAATAATAATAATAGTAAATAATAGTAATAAGTAATTAATTTTCATTATTTTAATATTATAATATAATAATATAGTTTACGTAGCGCATATTAATGTAGTACACATCGAACTGAATGTTTGGTACTACCACCTCCACTGTGCACAGTGTAAATAGTGAATACAGTAGAGTCTCGCAGCGTAATAGTAGGTATAATATGATAATAATAAATAATATTATAATGAAAAATACCTCTACCCATAATATATTCGTTATTAAATAATCACTGCGGCCGAATATAAATTATAAACAGTGGGAGGCTGAAAAAAGAGAATGTGTCCAGATGAAAGTAAAACGGTGGTTATAGTAAGGAACCACACGAGCGCAAGACGTATTATTTTGACAGAAACGGTCTGCCAACGTGCTCAACCGGATCGCTCTTGTCAGTCAGTCCACAGTCCGTCGTCTTCCTGTCCGCCACACGAGAACACGGACCGAAAATCGTAACGTGAGTACCTATATCCGTAATATTTTTACCTTACGATGTACCTACTACTTACTGTGTCCATACTTCAATAAGTTCAGTTATAAAATAATATTTTTAGTATTTTAATTATTATATAATCCAATATACCCATCTTATATTGTGGTCAGCGTTTGAATTGCGCTTAAACGGTCCAACTACTGCAGTAGGTATCTATGTTACATACTACGATATTTTAGATGACTATCTGCCGAAAATCGGACGGCACAAATATCATGACATTTTTTTTTTTTTAATTCTAAAACACTTAATTAAATAAACAAACAAAAGATTTAATTCACGTATGATAAATATATTATATTATTATTTTAAATATAAATTAAAAGTTAAGTTCTTTAGAAGAAAAGGTATTACATTTTTTAAAACTATTAAACAATTTATATGATAATTTATTATATTAGGTACCTAGTTAGGTAGTTTAGCTTTTATTGAGTATTTAACTTAAATTTGTTTCTATTATAATTTAAGAATGTAAATTAGTTTTAAGGATCAATTTTTGTTCAGGATTGGACTAAACTGGTATCAGGTGTGAACAATTTGGTTGTTTAACTCATTACATTATCTTAGTACTAGATTATTTCAAATAATTTCTTGATTTTTTCCGTTACATATATTCATTATATTATATTCTATTGTTTATGTATTTGGTAATTAAAAAAAAATATATATATATACGAATTACATATATGTTTTTTTACTGGTTTAGAATTGTATTTCAAATTTTTTCCGTCATTTTGAGTTAACTATAACAAATCTACATTAAAATACTTCATATTTACATTATAGATAGATTATATGCATTATAATTTATAAATTATAGATAATGTTAAGCTATCTATAAGAATTTTCTAGACAAATCGCATATACGTAATATTTGTTAATAAAATCTAATAATTAAATTATTATTAAAGAATTCTATTTTTTATTTAAGTAATGTACAAGAGGTATGAACTTAATAAAACAAATTACAATAAATAATATTAATTTATTAGTTATTAATTGGTAATAAATAAAAAAAAAAAAAAAATGTTAAAAAATATATGTATGCATTATTTTTTTCAACTATATAATCTATTTTAAAATTATGCAAAAGTATGTTTTATGTCTATACGAAATTGCTTTTTTCAAGTTCTACAGATATCTATCAAAATACCTACTATATTTTTGTAGTCTCATGAGTATAAATTTAATGGGAAAAACATAGTTCAAAAATTCCTCACCGAAGTGCTTTAATTAGAAGGTCTCTTCATTCATATATATATATATATTAAAGCCTTACCATTGATTAACCATTCAAATTTTCAAAATAATTTATTTATTTTATTAAGTATTTTAAATATAGATTAGTTTACACTGAACTATAATTATTCATCTATCTACTATATTTACATAAGTACACTTTAATTTTGCAATATATTAAGTTGAATATTTTAAGTATTTGTAACTTTTTTAAAGAATAGTCAAAAAATACTTAGTACTAATTATATATGTGTGTGAAGAAAGCAAACGTACATTATTATGTTACTAAACAAGATTAGAAATTATTTAAAGTTGCAATAATTACGCGAGGATAAGATTTATTAAATAAAGATATTTTTACGGTTTCTAATTTTTTTAACAAACCACGAACATTTAAAACATGCTAAAGTGGAAAATAATTGTTTAACTTACTAAGAACTTTAACAATTATTAATGTTAAGTGTTATATATTTTATTTAAGGAAACATTTTTTTTCTTTTTAATATAGGTATTTTATTTTTAATTATTTTGCCTAATGTAGGTATGCGTATATGATACTAAAAAGTATAATTATTATCATTTATTTAGGCGTCATAATATAAATATTTTAAATTTTAATTTAATTCATATATTTTATGTTTGATATTTTAGTCTATTAGTTGTTTTAATTTAATTTAAATTTACAAATATGCAAATACTTGATTTGTAAGTTATACTTAAATTGTACTTAAAGTACTTATAACATATCATTCGTCGAAATGTGTTTTTAAGCAATACGAAAAAATCGTCGTCTAATTTAAAATATTAATTTATTTTAAACTTCATTATAAATAATATCTAAATTCATAATATTTTAACGGCTAACACATCAGTTCATCTATTTAAAACTTTTTCTGACTCTGACCACACTTTTTAGAGTTTGAAAACGTGAATTTTGTTGCATCTTATTTATTTTCAAGTTTTTTTTAATTTGTTTACATAACATAATATATTCACATTTAATGGTGTAGGCTAAAAACAAGTATTCGTGTTCTAATATGATATTATATTATATTATGTGTGATGTAATTAAATAATTTTTCTTACATTTTTTTAATGAATATAATGCAATACTTTCTCCTACGACATAGTACAAACATATGACCGCAACCTTGATATGTTTACAATTAAAAAAAAAAAAAACAGAGCAGATTAATCTAACCAATAGTTTTCCTCATAAATATTGTAATAACAATTAATAAACATTATTGTATGCATCATTTGTTAATTTTAAACCACATTCTTACAAACTCTCACTTCAACATGCCATTGATTTTTAAAATTAAATGTTTCCTTTCTGTCGCGCCAACAAAAATAATGTGCCTACTTGTTCAGATCTCACATCTATATTATAAAATATACGTATTTAAGAAATCACACTTCAAACTATCGAACGAAAATACAACGCACATCGTTAAATATCACATGTATAAAATGTCGTCAATGTGAACAAGACAGTTGATTTTTGTATCAACGTTCTCTCTTTCAGAGTCAATTAATTTACAATTTTTTTCTCTTTTCTATACAATGTACAAACATGTCACTGCAATAGGTATTCTAGTATGTTATATGTTAACCCATATTTGTGTTGATTGATTGCTGTACATATTACCGTTCGTGAGTGCCTGATTGAGTTATATCCACTATCCACGTCTTTAAAGATGGTTGCAAAACTTCACATCATTGGATGAAATATATACAATCATCATGTATCGTAAATACTATCATCGGGACTCTTGTATGTATGTATATATATATATATATATATATGAATCATGAACGTATACGTATTAGTATATTATGTGCCACGGCTATAGATCGTGACTCTAGGGTTTGCTCACATGTATATTATATACTTATAGCCGATATCAATTATATTATATAACAGTTTTCTCATACTTTAACGATGACCCATAAAATGAAAAAAAAAATTGCTCATCGAATGAAATTGAAACTCGTTAACCGCAGATAGGGTCGCATTTGTTGTCGTAGTTGTACCGCAGAACGGAATCCACACTTCATCACATTTAATAATTACTGCAAATACAATTGAATGATGGCTGGCCGGCAAAGGGTTTTCTTAATCGAACTCAACGTAAGTCCCTCATTATTTCAAATATTATTGAAATTTAAAAAAAAACATTTTTCATATAGTTTTAAATCTTTAAAATCGACCTTTAACTAACAAAAATAATATATTTTAACTATTTATTATCGTTTTAATTTAAAATTTTTTTTTTTTTTAATGATAATATGCATTTTTATAATTCTAAAGCAGAATATTTTTTTGAAATATTTTGATGTGTAATTAAATCTAGTTTTGGACGAATAGTGTATGAGTTATAATATTTAAAGTTTAGATGAGTTGAATGGAATGGTATAGCCCATACAAAATTATTGTTCGCTTGATTATTGATTTTTTTAAATCGAAATACTCCGGAATAATTTTTTGCTTAGGAATATGAAATTTAAAATGTAATGTTGTTATTCAAAAGGATAAAAAAATCAAAAAAATCAAAAAAATGATTACAATCAAATATAGTATGGTATTTTTTCAAAAAAAAAAACTTACAGTTATGTAAAAAAAATATTTTTGAAAACATTAGTAATAACGAGAAATAACGAGTGTCTACGTTAAACGGTTCGCCCAGTATATGATAATGTATTTATTAAATACATGCACTTTTCTTATATGTTTTAATATTATTTTCGACTACATTATGTGTGTGACGCGATCGTCGCGTGTACGCTTAGATCAACACAAGCGATTTTTTTGCCGTAGCGAATCGCTGCAGCAGAGAAAGCACGTTATTATTATCAAGATTAATGAAAATAAACCAAAAAATAACGTCATGCAGATAAAACATTCGAGATATCGCACAACGTAGTCACTGCATTAAGTATACGCGTGTACAGATATAATAACTACATTATTCTCTCATCGGATACACGCGTGGGATCTCTAAATTGCTCGTATCATTTATACCTATATAATTAGAGAAAACGTTATCCGTTGTTTGATTTAGTATTGTCGTAAAATTCTGTTGCAGTTTCAGAAGTAATCGTATCGTTAGCCTCGTTTTATAGAGACTGGGAAATTTAAATTAAAAAAAAATAATCATCGATTAACTTCATTCGTCATAGTTCTATTTGTTTTTATTTTATTTTTCTATAAAACTATATCTGCCGAGTGTATTTGCTTTCTGGGCGAAAAACGGAACAATTATAATTACAACGTTTACATTTTATGCAATTTTTTTGCGATAGCGCAAATAACTGCAAGTACTCCCATCCTATGTGATATATAATATATACGGTAACGTTATTTCATTACGATTTTGTCGTCAAATCTCCTTCAGCATTGCGTGTTGATTAGTATAATGATTGTTATTTTAATGATGCACGTATTATAATGTTCTGATTTAAATTCAAAACAAGAGGAGGATATAACTTACTCAGTGGATAACAATAATTATATTATAATACAGATATCTACGTTTAGTGTGTTCGCCGTCTGGGATAAATAAAAATACTTACAATATATAATATATATATATTTTTTTATTTGTACCACTATATTTTTGTGTACATTATAATATACATATAATATACAGGAACAGGATAGAATGTTAGCGTCCAAAATAATTCTATGCTGTAAACAACATTAAAATAAGCTTATCGGAAAAAGTTACTAAAAATGCGCGCGCACGACACGCAGTGCATAAAATTCAACTGGCAAGTCACGTTTGGTATTTTGTCGTCCCGTATTATATACACTATATAGGCATATAACAAGATGGTTATGACCGCGTATTCCCTAGATTAGTGAGATTTATGTGTTCTGTGCAAATAATCTGTTGAATAATTTTACTTCAAGCTACTCGTGTACCGCGAGGCTTGTGTAAAACGTGATTCGACCACATAATTGTTATGATGCGCTAGTAATATATTCGCGTGTCATAGTACATGTTATAATATACGAATAACAAACGTGACGTTTGCGGGTAGTATACACAAGAGACTAGTGTTATGATGTGAATACGATTGTTTTTTCCAGAAGGGGTATCCGAGTATGTTTTATATTTAACTTAATTATTCGTAATTCATAAATAATTAAAAATGTATATTGTATACGATAATAATTAAAATTATAACATTCAATATAATATAATTTCATCATACAAATTTTCGAGTTTCCTTCATTTGTTTATTTAGAGTAAAGTTGTATTTAATCTTTACAGATTATGTTTAGATTATTTTTAATTTTTTAACAAATATTGTTCTATTTTTAAAACATTTAATGAAATAGCTAAACATTTTTTCAGAATATTGAAAAATTAAATATCTTTTAACTAGGTAGAAAGTTAATGTATATAAAGTTCGATTACTGTTTGCACTTTTGTAGCCTTTCTCTTGTCATAAACTTATGATTAATCTGAAAATTGAATACATACGTGTTATATAATTTTTGACTAATGACCAATCAAAATGCGTACCCATAATAGCATCTAGAAATTCGTACCAAAAAAAAAAGTTTCCAACTGTATTGGTATATATAATAAGTAGATGGGAAATTAAATTATTTGAAAGTATTTAATTAAGCAAGAACTAAAATAATAATATTATATCCCGACCTGAAGTAGTAACTATAAAGATTTTTCAAATACGTATATTTACCAATACCATGATTCAAATTAAAAAAAATATTTAACAAATTCGAGACTATAGTTATGTACGATGGATAACTTTATTTGAGAAAATTATTTTTAGTGGTAAGAAAAATATGATAAAAATATAAACTTATATTAATAATATTTTATCAATTGTTTCAACAAATCTAATTTATTTTACAGACGTTCAACTATTTAGTAAATAATCGATAAGAGTTGGGTGCTTATTTAATGCTAATAGATTTACAAAAAATTATCGTGTGAAAGATGTAAAAAATTTGATGACCTTTTAAGATCGGTGTTCCGTGGTGGTTGCCACAGTTATTAACGTGTTCTGAGGTCAACCATTGACCGGTGTCGCTAGTTTTTGGATGGATACCCACACAGATTCTCAGCAAAGAAACCATAGCACACTTGTACGCACGTGTTTCTAGTGATCCTACAAATCCTAAAAAAACTCAAACCGATCAATTAAAATATAAATTTTACAACCAACCAATTATAATATTGATGTCAATTCATCGAGTACACACGACTTAATGATCTAAGAATCGTATTAACATATATCATACGCGCATCACTTGTAGTGTTTAGTTTCAATTTTCCTTTTTCTTAACACAATAAATCAGAAAATCACAGAAAGGTACTATATAAGATATCGAATTGTACCGTCATAACTGTAGTTCTATATAGGTGGGTATATTATATAATATATTATAACATAATACATGGATTGTGCGGGTATATTCGACTGAATTTTATGATACGTCACCACGTCGAAACCAAGCGCGCACACTAAAGGAAGAGGCGTTAAACACGTAAGATTGATTCTAACTTCCTACTTCATAACCCTACAAAGCGTCGTCCGAAAAACTTAAACATATATTTGATTCATGTGATTTGCACATCACGGACTAAGATGGTCTATGATTTACAATATCATTGTATTCGTAATACAAAATTAGTATTATAGGTAGGCGGATTTGATCCTGGTGCAGAGATAAAGTGAACAAGGCGTTGTTACCACCTCCTCGCACTCATATAATACCTGCTTATAAAATATTATTCTTAAGTCTTATAAGTTGCAATGCAATTTACCGCCGCAGGATACGAATGTTATGCACTGACCACGATTAAGGTTGTCGAGGGTGTCATTTATTAATAAACAATCATACGTTGATATTGTCGTCGTCATTTTATTTTATTCGAATCTATCGTTTTTTTGTGCCCTCAGAATATGATGACCGCCCCAATATTGTGCGCAGCAGCTTTTGTGTTGGCGCTGCAAGCCATGTGTGTGACCGCGGCCGGCGGTGAACGCCAGCAACAGCAACAATTGCCGCTGTTTTTCCAAGCAGGCCGACCATTCAACGCGCCCGGCGCCCCGTTGCCCAAATTTGTGGGAATCGCGGGCAACCAGCCGCCACAGGCGTTCCGCTCGGTACCGCCGCAGGTGGACGAGGAACAGGAGGATGAAGAACAGCGCAACGATGACGAACCGCACCAGCGCAACGTGCTCGCTCCCACCCCACTTCCGTTCAGACCACAACCTACGCCACAGGTACCGTATACATACACATATATTAGCATATAACTGATTGCTTATATTTACTTTCTATATAGTTAGGTTAGGTCTCCTTAATCTCCCCCTTGATCTTCTTTAATACAAAATCTCAGTTTTGGAATATTTAAATTCGCTTAAAGACCGTACTTTACATTCTGTATAATGTGTTTATAAATTATATACCACAGTTAATATTCAGAAATATACTAGTATAGACACTAGATACGTAATCAGTTACTATCAAACGATATAACGACCATTATCAGATTACTCTAAAGTCTAAACCCAATTTTTACATCTCTCGTCACCAATTCATACTTAAATTTGATAGTAATATAGAATATATTTCATTATATTATGTAAAAATACAATCCAATATTCCCATTATAATATTATGGTTATTAAATTAAGAAAACATAAATAAGTTAATTAATTACAATAAATATTATAATTTTATTAATATTTACAATTTTATAATTAAGTTTGTATAATACTGTGACGCCATAATGGTCAATATTACATTCACAGGTATCATAATAATATAATATACTAATACAAATAAAATAATTATTTTTCATAATTATTATGTAGTGATGAAATAATATACCCAAAATTTATTTTCTATGAAAATAGGAGGATATAAGGGTTATACCTGATTTAATAGAGAAGAAAAACGTGTAATTTTGTAGTAGAAAAATACTGTAGTTTTTTGGATAACTTGTAAAACACCACTACTGATATATTACTATATTACTTCTTAATTTTACTGATGTTTATACATTTTCTAACTTTTCAAACTTCGTAACGTGGTATCTAACCAACTATTATGCCGCGCAGTATTACCTATGACTTAATTATAGTTACTGCGCTACAGCTAGATGAGGTCTATATGAAACAGCGACCTTGTCATGTCGTCGTTATTATTCGACAAATTAATTTTTGAGCACAGCGCGTTGTACTTAATTAGTTCGTCGTTTGTACAGTTTATATAATAATTAGCTTAATCTTTCGAATGACGTGAAAAAACTACATCACAAGGTTAGATTTTATAGGATTTTATATTATATAGGACATCGACGCGTCTAACCAATCGACCCGTGTCGACCCGCAAGTTTCTGAATGCACCATTCATGATTTTGCAACACAGTTACTTTTAAATTTTAATACAACTTAATGTGATGCGCCACTATACAAGCAACAACGTAAATTCTTCCGATTATTGATTTGCTCGTGTTAAATATTATGCAATAATTATTAAGTGTGTTATTACTTATTAACCATCGTATGTTTTGTAACATGACGTTTGCAGTTCAATCAATTCCGTGCTTCTCCATCACCGTCCCCGCAGACCTTACAACCGATCCGCATTAACAGACCCACCGAAACTCCGATCAGAAGACCACAACCTCCGACGCCGTCGCAATTCAAATCGCTGTCCAGTCAACCATTGTCGGTAAGTCGCTCACGTTTCATATTCATACGGTTCTACTAACTAGTGATTAGTGGACTAATATTTTACATGGAAACTATTTTAATAATATTATATATTTAATACGTAATAAAATTCAGAATAAAATGTTTAATAAGTAAACACACGTTGCATTATTTTACAATGTTCGTCTTAAAATATTTCAAGTAGGTAAACGTGCATATAATAATAACTTTTATGCATGGATTATCGCGTGCTCTTTTTGATGTCTAATCTGTACATTTATCGTGATCTATCATAATATAATTGGGTTTTTAAATTCTCAAACATTATCTTTTTAGTATTACCAGTGAGTATCAATGCTAAACATACTTATTTATAATTATTATGTTTATATTGTTATTTATCTTTATTATAGCGATTTTGAATTAGGTATATAAATAATAGCCACAGGCTTTGATATTTTTTTTATCAAATTTCCAAATCGAAGAAACCTATTGCAAATTTTTAATTCCCTATGAATAATAGGAAAATCAACACTTAAAACTTTAATGATTTTCTTTTCCGTGAGCCCAGCAAAAATTACGTACATTCGTCCGGAAAACATAGTTAATATGGCAGTTTATTGCAGACGTCCTTCGCGAAGGTTTCGATGAATTCGAACCGCGGTCGCGGTAGTACCTATCGATTTCAATACCGTTTTTACTTAATTTATAGATACTTTTATTATTGTATTGTATAAACCAGTCTAGCGTAAAGTGAATCGGTGTTTGAATAACTACTGTGCGTTCATTGTGTCTACGATGAAAATCGACATTCATGAAAATATTTTTAATGATATAATACTTTTTATGACGCTGTTATTATGTCACCCGAGACCAGTGTATTTCCAGCGGACACCGTGCCTAAATCTGTTTTACAATATATTATAACGTCAACAGTGTAAACAATAATAATAACAACACGAATGATAATATATATATATTATCAACTGTAACGTGTATACGATGATATATCACTGAACAATGTGTTTTTTATTTATTGATTACAATGCAATTCGTTCAGCAATAAATAAATTGTATGTGCTTGTGTTGAATAATGTGAAACGGCGAAGAGTTAATATAATACCTGAATACATATCATACTATTATATGTAGTGTGAGGTATAACAATTATTTTTAAATAATATAAACAGCTTACATAACACGTTTATTCCGTGACTACTTATTATAATATAAATATGTTTATTTAAAAAAATGTATATTATATTATACATATAGCTAAGTAATAAATTTATTTTTGTGTATAGTATATACTCAATTGCCTGAAAAATTCAAAAAACTGTCATTATCAACTATTTAAAGAATGTTGTGCTATCTAACATTAAGAAATTTTACGACTCTTACTACCAACAATGATCATACCTAATAAATAATAATAATATATAGGAACTTAACTCATAAAATATGATATAATATATTAATATTTTGTTCACGGAATCACACGGCGAACAATATAGGCAATATTGGTTCTTTTGTGTGTTGGATATTTAAACGTGTATCATTTTATTTCCGTAACTCTTTTAATACCTATATAAAAATATTAATTGTTTTTATTGACATTGAGTTGATTTGAAAAATAATTTTTACTTTAAAAATATATTATAGATATTAAACTAGTACTTATCAAATATTTTATTCGTATTTGGCCTAAAAATATAGTTATTTACATTTTATGAATGTTGTATTACCACAGGAAGAAGCCCAAGAATTAGAAGAAGAAAAAGAAGAGCCCGATCGTCTTACCCAATTGTTGCCACAGTCTAAATTCACTTGCGGTGACAAAAAGACCGGTTACTACGCTGACGATGGTCTGGACTGCGAAGTGTTCCATTACTGTCAGGATGGTGCTAGACACTCTTGGATATGTCCTGAAGGCTTCGTTTTCCACCAGGTGGGTTAAATAATTGCTATCAAGACCCCAAAGTTGATTTCAATTTAATTATACAAACTATTACCATTTCCTCAACCCTTTTTCTTAAAAAAGGCATATATATATATTTTTTTAACGGGTTTAGCAAGAAAAACTCATAATTCTATCCCTTGTAATCGAGTCCAATTGATTATATTAACACGTTTATTACATTCTTTTTTTTATTATTATAACATCTAACCATCACACTATTTCGCTCGCCTTACACAGTGGCGAGAGACGATCGATGTTTTCTCTAATAATCTAAAAGAAAAATTGTACTTTTATTATAATTACACACAAACACACATATATATATATATATATATACGATAATTTAATCGAGTCTGTGTCGGTACGTAGGTACATCTGATCTGCATGCCACCGAGCAGCGAGAACATTTGCAAACAGTCGACACAATATCACTTCGTCAACGACTTCTTGTACAGGCCAGTAAACACGGAAGAGGCCAACTCCCGACCGAACGTGACGCTCAGGTATGGCGACCGGTATTACCCAGGTAGCAATTCGGAAGCGGGCGAAGAGTACGACCACGATGAGGAGGAACCGTCGCAGAGACCACAACAGTTCAGACAACAACCAGTGCTCAGGCAGCGCATTCAACAGCAACAGCCCCAGCCCACGCAACAGCACGTGCTATCCACCCCGCGCCCGACGCACGTGTTGCACCAGCAGCAGTTGCAGCAGCAACAACAACCACAACAGCTACAGTTTGCCCGACAACCATCGCCCAATCAAGTGTTCCACTCGTCCGAGGAAATAAACATACCGTTGCAACAGAGGCGACCGGTGGTGTTGCAGCCGCAGCAGCGACCCAGCTTCCAACAGCAACAACAACAAAACGACTTCGACTTCAGACGGAAGTAATATGGACGTAATATGCACGAGAGTGGGCAATGCTTCGACGATGATAAATATATCGTCGACGCGTAGTGTCCGCGTATAATTATGTACATCGTTTACGTTATAGGTTATGAAAAAAATAATATTTATCATTTTTTTTTTTTATTTTTAGTAACACTAGAGCGAGACAACACTCTACTGTACATATATATACAATAATTCTATATATTTTTTACTGTTAGGTTAAAACCAACGCGAAATTATTTGATATATCAGGACTTGTCGTATTATGATATATTGACGGAGAGAGCAATGAATAGGATTTATTATATTATTCATATACATTACAGTTTGCGAACGATCAGCTAATACAACTTCACTCGAAGTTCTTTTCTTTAGATTTCATACGCGGTGATCATAAACATAATACTAAATCGATCAAATTCTTGTCCACAGAAATATCCATACTTATATTTTTTCAACTTCAATACTTACTCGCCTCTAAATATTATACGTATACAGCAGTGTACTACGTATATTGGAAAACGCAGTATGATACAAACCACAACTGCTGCTTATAAATTAATATGTTTCTTGTTTTTTAACCGGTGACTAAATATTGTCAACTGTTTTTTAAAAGTACGCTCCGCAATATTTGTAGAACGAATTTGAAAATCGACACCGTTACTATACAGTGAACAAGCAAAACGTGTAAACACTATTGACGAAATTAAATGCCTACTTTCGATTGTGAGTTGATTGTACAATGATATAATACATATTATTATGTACTGTAAATCAATATTTAAACAAAATATAAATAAATAAATAATATTTTTACTCTTTATTACATGCGTCATACATGCCATTATGCAAAAATAATTATGTACTTATCAACTGTTTATAATTAAATGTTAAATTGTATTTTGATTGTGTTGTATTGCTGTTTTAAAACAATACTTCATAAATATTAAGTTGTTCGTTGCTTAACAATTATTTATGTTTAAGGTACCGATACCCATCATATATAAGCTTTACAATAAATTTATATGTCGTCATTGAAAATCTGTATGTAGTCCAGATTCAAACATTCTTTAAGTTATTTTCAGTGTACTAAAAGTATCTGTTGGACTTGTTCTTTTTTTTTTAATTCCATATTTTAGTATATATATATAATATATACATACTTAATGTTATTAAACTTATTATTTATAAAAATAATAATTAATTTACAGTATCCTTGAAATTGCTTTGTGCTGCCAATATTGCTTTTATAATACAATTGTAATCTTAAGTTATATTATTATTATGTTTTATAATTTTATTAAATATAATGTTAACGTTGATAAAACGTTTGTGATTTAAAGAAGAAAAATGTTTTTCTGTTGTATAAATATTGTATTTACAACCTATTTCTGTGTATAACGAATTGAGACCTTTTTTTTTTTTTTGACAATCTACATGCATTATCTATGTAGAATTAAACTATCAAACTGTACAGAGAACTAAGAAGATGTACCCTATTAGAGCTTAGACACATACAGAGAATTTGGATGTTCCTATACGTTTCAGTAAACCCCAATACTCTTACAGCAAGTTTAAGCCGAAATGAGCCTTAGGAAATATCAAGTTAAGTTGACTTTACAAGGTTTGGCAGTTAGATTAAAATAGTCATATTTATTGTATTTTTTTTGTCTCCAAACAAATTCATAATTTTAGTAATCTCACTACATACTAGTATACTAATATAATGAATTTAAAAATTATTCGATTTGAAGGAAAACCACCAGCAAGTAAACACCGCCATGACAACATCTTACTTCTGAGTTTGAGTATTAAAAAATAATCGTTTTAGAACGAAACCCGAATGATTATTATTGACATTATTTGTAGAATAGAAATGAATAAAAATATCAGAAAGATATACTAATTGACCGCATTTCTAGTTGCCATTTGTTTTTACTGTTTATCATAAATTATTATAAATATTACTATAAAATAGTAAGTTTTTATGTGTATATTTTAAAGTTTTAAATATTTTACCTGTACGTTTACAGCACACAATTGTCAATTTTTTGCGAATCGTAAACTCAACGTTTTGACAGCCATTCGGTTTTTTACTCTGTTAGTTTCCTACATTTAACCGTTTTTCTCGATTCATATGACGCTTCTTTGTTTTGGACGTGTTTCACGTCAAATCTCTTTTTTGACGAATAATAATTTACGTTCGTGTGGGTGGAACTAAGTTTTCCGTCAAACGTTTCGCGACAATGCGTTAGGCCGCTCTGAAGTAGACGACCAGCGGAGCATATTTTCGGCGGAAAATCGCAGTCATCGGGTCTTATTAGGATATCATTACATAACACCTGGCTATTATGATATAGTATATCACGGTATTATCTAACGAGTGACACGATTGAAATGTTTTGTGAAAATGTAACTACCTACTTGTGTAATAATATATGGATAATATACATAGCGATGATAATTCACAATAATATACATAACACTCAGCACTCGCAATTATTATACATATTATTATGTTGTACATAGTCATGCGACTATTTCGCCAAGGCCACATTTGAGTTTTCCAAATCAGTTGTAAAGACTTACATTTTCACTAGATATTAATATTAATTAATATTAACATTTAATACTTATGTTATAAATGTCAAAATATTTTAATTCTAATCGTACTATTTATAGATATTTGAAAATTTAACTTTTTTAGTATATTTTTATGATTAATGCTTGGTTAAATTTTTATTTGTGAGTAAAATAACTTTGAAGATAAATAATAATAATGAAAGGTTCCTTTTAAGTTTTTTTTTGCAAGCATTCATAGTTGGCATACAATCATCTGAAGATAATCATCTGTCAACCTATTTCATTAATTATAATTTATGACATATCTTTTTTACTTAGCTATTAAAATCATTCATTTTACTTTTGTATTACGGTAGGTTGATAAAAAATTTTACGAAAATATGACATTTATTATATCATTATTATTATTTAATTAAATTGATAAAAAAAAAATTATCTTATATTTTTTTAGATTTTATTTTTCTAGTATAAACTAATTTCAAAATGTATGTATGAAAAGATTTTTATATGCATTTCTAACTACAAAATAATTCGTTATTTCTTTTGATTCTAACGAATTTCTTAAAATTTTTAGTATTATAAGTGATATCTTTGTCAAAAAATGTTTAAGTTTAAACTACCACAAAATTTAATTTGTCTTTAGTAGAATATTTATTTATTTTTTATACAAGTCGCAACATAAATAAATACTTTGTATTAAATTTTCAAAACTTAGGTATTTGTGTATTTCTAACTACAAAATAATTTGTAAATTTTTAAGAATTTGACTAACTTTTCAAATTTCTAATTTTAAACAACTATAAAAAGATATTGTAAATATAGATGTTTAATATATTTTGATTGAAAAATAAACAACTTACGAGAAATGTTGTGTAAAACTTACAAGCATTTCTATTCTTAGTGATATTTCTAGAAAAAGACTAAAAAACAAAAATTAAAAATTTCTCATGTATATAAGAGCTCAAAAAAAATCAAAAAAATATTAAATCTTTAAATAAAAAAATTATTATTTAAAAATTTGTGGAAAATTTCAAATATTTTAGGTTATTTATTTTCAAGTAACACATAAAAAAAACAAAATTAATATTGTCAAAAATTGGATTTGCTTAAAAATTCTAGTTTTTTCCATACATTTTTTATGAGCTTTTTACTTTTGACCCTCTAAAGTACCAATTAAGAAATAAAAGAATGGATAGCTAGCGCGAACCAATGTTATTAAAGTCTACTAAAACCATTCAAATCGAAGCTGTTATCGAGAGAATTGAAGATAACTCCATACACAAGTTACTTGTGACTGGTGTTGATATATGGATGTGAGACGTGGAATACTACAAAAGACGATTATGCTAAATTTTGTACAACAGAAAGAAAAGTGCTCAGAAAAATATTCGGCCCTGTCTATAATATAGAAACAAGAACATACGAAAGAAGACATAATAATGACTTACAAAATTTATATGGAAGACCAAATATACTATCGTTTAGCAAAAGCAAGAGGATAGAATGGGCTGGACATGTTTGGAGGGTAGAAAAAAAAAATTATAAAACAAGTTACTGAAAGAAGAATTGTGAAGAAAAGACGTGTAGGAAGACTCTGAACAAGATGGTAGGATGAAGTAGGAAAAGATCTTAAAATGATTCATGAAAACGTAAAAATGTAAGATACGAATGATAGGATCCGATGAAATGAAATAATGGTGGCAGCGATGGACCTACATAGATCGCTAAGCTGTTGAGAAGAAAAAGAAGAAAGTACTAATTAGATTAGACTCAATTTTCTACTAAAAACATGTTCTTCATTTTAGAAAAAAGAAACATATTATCGACGACTTATCGTGTTTATAGACTAGGTAACACAAAAAACAAAAAAACAACACATCATTGTAAAATTCCTTTATTGATTAATTCCGCTCAGAATATAAATCGCTAGAATAAAACCTATTATCTACATCAGCGGTTCTCAAACTGTGGTACGCGTACCACTAGTGGTACGCGAAAGACTACATGATGGTACGCGGAACTGCGGAAGGCCGCATGGTAGTAGGATTTTTAATCTTCAGTGGTACGCGACTGATTGATAATATACTTAAGTGGTACGCGAAATAAAAAGTTTGAGAACCGCTGATCTACATACTCAAATTTAATGCTTAATTTAATGTACTATGTATCATCTATTTCTATAAATTTATTACATGCGTGGATTTGTGTACAATGAATAATATATGAATAAAAATACGATCATAACTATTTATTTTTTTGATGGTTGAAACTTGAAAGTAATTAATTCGTGTAATGTACAACCAAAGATACTGCTTATGATCAGTTTCCACACAACAATATACAAATATTATTCAGTATAACAGTCTAAGTCACTGATAATTATTAACATAAATAATTAATTGTTAGTGTCCATTTATTCATAGAATTAGTTTATCATTCGATTTCCTTCCCTGTTAGACTAAATATATACGTATAATACCTGGTCTAGTTAACATTTTCCATCTAAACGCAATGTTCTCTTTAAATCTAAATTTGTGTATACAACAATTCTGATTAGTCAAACATTCAGGAACCTCTTTAAGTATTTATTTTAATTTTTTTTTTTATTTTTACAATTAAGTATACTGTACACTGTACATACATAGATACAAAAGGAAATAAGATCTTATATTTCACTTTTTAAGCTTATACTTGAATAGTTAAATCAGAAGCATTGACAAAAACTATATTATTTGCTTAAAAATTTAGGTTGTATTTTCATTACTTATATATATTTAAAATAAACTTTTATGTTTATTCAATTATATTGTTAATTTTTATTAAAAGAATTATCCATATTTCATTTTTCAAAACTTTAAATTGTGTTTAAATATTTTTGATTTTCCAAAGCACAAATAAAAATATATTTTTCCTATTCTTGCGCAAAATAATTAATTATATTTTTAACAATTTCCGTTTTTTTAATGCATTCAATTTCAATCCTTAGTTATTATTATTATTATTATTATTATTATTATTATTATTATTATCATAATTATTAAGTAGGTACTTTTCTATCCATTGAATATTGTAATTTTAAATGAATAATACCATGAATTCCAAAATCTAAAAAAATAAAAGTTAATCATAAAATAATAGTTTATGTAACAAAGCTACACCTACGTCTATGGCGATTTTATATTTAGCTATATTACTAGCTATCGCTGAGCATTTCGTTGACCGTTCAGAATACATCCATGTTAAATACTAATTTCAACATCACGGTTAATTTATGTAAGACTTTTAATTATTATATTGTTAAATCGTTCAACAGTAAGTAAATACTGTATACTTATTTATTACTGTGATATCTAATCATTTGTAGGAATATCTATTTTAAGAAATAAAATAAAATAATTTTATAATATTTGAATTATTCTTTTAAATTGATTTCATAATAAATACATAGATATTATGCAAAATAAATTGAAAACTAGTTAAATTCATATTAAGTGTATGCTGGGTATTACTTTAAATACTATTTAATTATAAAAATAGTTTTTTTTTTATTTATTTTATTATTTGATTAGAAACTTTTCAACTTACTAAAGTTGGTCCAATTTATCAAATAATTAAAACTAAGCTATCAAATTTAACTTAAATCTATTGAATTCTATATTTTATAATTAGGATGGAAAATTAAAATCACATAAAATATTGTTTTTGGTAAACTTAAATATATAATAGATTATATTTACATTTAAAGTCTTTAAGTATTATAAT